AGGCTGAGGAATGCCCAACACAATCCCAACCCAAGACCGTGCAAGACAAATTGTCCAAATACTCACAGGGCTTTGCTTGCTCTGCCCATCCCCTGCATGTGCAGCCCGGCAGCGCAGTCAGCCAGGCTGGGAATTCAGGGATACCGCTGCCTGGAGAGCAGTCTGGCACAGATCCTCCTCTGATCCCTCCCTCTCCCTAGCGCTGGCTCCATCCTGCTGCTGCCCACATCAGGGTGATGTTACAGGTGACACCTCCTGCTGCTGATGTCAAGCTCTGTTCCCAAAATCACAAGCATTGTCTCCCCGCAGTGCTTGCTGCTCCTACAAGCATCACCTGCACATCCTCTGGGTGCCAGGAAGCCAGTTCCAGCAAGATTCCAAAGAAGCTTATGGACACACAGCCTTCCCTCTTCGTCAAGCCTCCCAGTCTTACAGAGCTGCTTTAATTCCTACCAGAACGCTGCAGCAAATGTAGCCTCTACGCATCCCCTGGGGGGAAAAGGAAGGATTTTTACCGTTTCTTTCTCTGGTGCAGCTTTATTTGCTCTCTTCCTAGAGCAAACTGCTGAAAGAACAGGGAAATAATGGATCAGGAGACCAGAGTGACTGACTCATGGATGCTCTCCCGAACATTTTGGAGTAAGCCGAGGGGCTGGTGATGCAGCCCAGGACCAGAACTGATGAATGGCGCAGTGCTGCTGTTGTCATGGCAACCAAGAGGAAAAGAAAAAAAAGGCAGCACCATATAAGGAGTTGTGACATGGATTCTGGGAACAATTTATACTAAAAGGCTCTAAGCCCTAGGATACTTTAAAGCTGCAGCACCCCCTTGGTTGGGGACATGGTTCATTGTTCACATTGAAGCAGTCGGCACGAATTTCTGACAGGATCACATCCAGCCCAGACATGTTTGCATTGGGAGAGTTACAGCAAAACAACATGATTCTGCAGTGTGTGTAAATAACTGGAAATTCAGTAACTGAAGTTATTAATTAAGGGAAATGGCTGGACACTAATAAAGACTCAAACTAATATCTGTGAGAACAGAATACCCACAGGTAGGTGCAGCCCCACACAGGTGAGGAGCTCTGTCCTTACAGAGTGAGGCTGAGATGAGCCAAACTGCAGCACCATCAGGTGGCTGAGAGACTGAGCAGCACTGACACCAACACAGATCCTGCCAGGCCTCCCCAAAGACAGGAGAACATTTCCAAATTAACCCATAACCCAGGCACTGTAGGGCAAAGGAGGCTGGCAGAGCCCCCAAAGAATCTTCAGGTATGGCAGAGCAGGGAAAGCCAGCTCACACACACCTGGCATCACAAGCTGTGAGCAAGGCCAAGGATTGTATTCCATGTGCAGCTGGGAAAAACACATTATTTACCAGAACCATAATCAGCTGCTTTTCACTTAATGCATGTGCTCAAACAAACACTACACAGTGAGGGAGAGAATGGCCACTGCTGCACCCAGCACCCAGCACAACACTGCAGAGCTGGAGCCTGAGCTCAGCAACTGAAACTTTGTTAGAAATCCTTCCCATTGATGATTTATTTTACTTTTAAACACAGAATCCCTCAATGGCCTGAGCTGGAAGGGACATTAAAGATCATCCAGTTGCCCCTGCTGTGCCCATGGGCAGGGACACTTTCCACTGTCCCAGGTTGCTCCAAGCCTCGTCCAGCCTGGCCTTGGACACTTCCAGGGATCCACAGCTTCTCTGGGAAGCCTGTGCCAGGGCCCCACCACACTCACATCACAGAATTATTGTTATGGTTGGAAAAGACCTTGAAGATTATCAAATCCAACCATCAACCTTGCAACACCATGACATTCCACACTAAACCATGTAATCAAGTGCCAGAGCCACACATTTTTTGAGTGCTTCCAGGAGTAGTGACTTCACCACTTCCCACATGTGCCAGCACTGACAGCTTCCCCCCAGCACTCCCACCCCTGAAGCTGTGCCTCATCATCTTTCACACTCCCACCCATCTGAGCTGGTAAAACAATTTGGAGAGAACATGTGGTCCTGGGGGCTGCAATCATTAATCTGGGTTTATCATCACTAAACAAGAAACAATAAAGTTTTCAAGTAGAGAGATCTGAGCTTTTTAGTCCCACAATTACAGTTAACACCAAAGAATACTGAACCATTTGCTGAAGAGATAGAGAAGGGAGATGTGACACTCCTTGTGGCTACTCCCAAGAAATCCAAGGCTATCCCATGAGGGATGGGGAGAAGACAAGACCCCAGCACTACAAATTACGTGTGATGGTGGCATAAAATATGTTATGTGTTGAGGTTCCCCATCCCAGAGGGACCTGGAGGGAATTGAGAACCACAGTGGTGAGGCCTTACTGGGAAGATCAAGTCACCCACTCAGCCCTACTCTCATCATCTCTCTGAAGGATCTAGTGAAAAAATATACATCTTTTTTAAAAAGAGGCTGATTTACAGGAATATTCCTACTGATTTGTATGAATTTTATTCTTAGGGAAAGTTCCCACACTCCACAAACACAAGGGAGGAATGCTCTAAAAGAGAGGATCTGCAATGAAACCAGTTCCCCAGGCCCATGTCTTTGAAGACACTGAAGCAGCTAATTCACACTGGATACAGCGGGATCAGGCCTCCGAGAATCCAAACCAAAAGACCCAGGCCAGGCTTTTGTTAGAAAAACATGATTTCTTTCCTAAATTTCCTGCTAATATTCTCCCTTCCTCTCTCTCTGCATAGGCACTCACACACATGCTCTTTCTAAGAGAATCCCAATGCTTGCAATCTGTCATTCAATAGAAAAAATAGCAATAGCCAAGTACAGTGATGAATAAAATTATCCCTGCGCATATAAATGTACAATATTTAAATGAACACTCCTTCCTGAGGAGGAGGAGGAGTGGGATGCAGCATAGGGCTTTGTGCAAACCCTCTGCACATGGTGGGTTCCACAGGAGTGGAATAAAATATAATGAGCTGAGTCTTTCAGCCCAGTATCTCCTTTATTAACCTAATGTATGTATTTTTGGCACCGATTCCCAAAAGCACTTACATACATTCATCCCTAAGTACCCTCCTGGAAAGCACTGCTGTCCACAAAGCAGGTATACAGAGCACCTGCATTCTTTTCTTCACAGTTATGGCTTTCAGTCAGCAATAACACACCCATCATGTATAGTAGAATATTTAAGCCCATTGTTTCAACAGCAGTTGCTCTTTGTACAGCAAGCACGGTAACTTTTAAGTGCTAATTTTATTGCAGACACAAACCAAAATGGTGTCTTCCCTTACTTAACCTGGGCTGGGAGGGTGGGGAGTTTTCTTTCCCTTTATTACACATTTTTCACATTATTTTTGTTAATAAAGCCACTATTACAAAAAACCAAAAAAATTAAATAACACAAACCGAGGTTGAATGTGCTGATTTAAGTATGTTTTCAGTCAGCGTTAAACAAGAGCAGGAGGGGGAGAACTGATTACTTATGCTATTACTTCACTCCTTAGAGTGACAATGATCTTAGTTTTTCTTAATCACCAGACTATTCAGCAGAGTGGAAAATGCACCCACATGGAATATTTATCACCCTCTGAACCCAGCCAAGTCTTCATACCCAGCAAACCCAGATACCAAGATGTGAGTGAGTGACCTTAGCTCCTCTGGGTAGAAAACGCTCACTCTGTGGAATGTCTTCCTGAGGTTTTTTACCAAAAATGGACATTTTAACTTTTCTGTGGATGAAAAGCTGCTTTGGTTAAAATCAGGCAGATTAAGAACTTTAAAAGATTATATTATCGTAGAATTATGGAATGGTTTGGGTTGGAAAGGACATTAAAGCCCATCCCGTGCCACAGGCAGGGACATCTTCCACTGTCTCAGGCTGCTCCAAGCCCCATTCAACCTGGCCTTGGACACTTCCAGGGATCCAGGGCAGCCACAGCTGTCCTGGGCAACCTGTGCCAGGGCCTGACCATCCTCACAGCCAGAAATTCCTCCTGCATATCCAATCTAAATATCCCCTCTTGCAGTCTGAACCCATTCCCCCTTGGCCTGTTGCTCCAGTTCCCAACACAAGATCCCTCTTTGGCTGTAGGCTCCTTCAGATACTGGAAGACTGCTGTAACCAAGAAAAGGGCCCAAGAAAAAAAAAATTAATAAAAAAAAATTAAGATATAAAGATTTTTATGTACCATAAGGTTGAGGGTCCCATCCTCTCACCAACCGCTCTGCAGATATGGAATTATGACAGGAACAGAATCTCTCCCCTACCCTTTCCAAGTTCTCCTTTCACCAGAGGAAACAAAAGGCACCAAGTGCATCAAAGCTCTCTTATGTACACACAGATCAGATTATATTCCATAAAAACTCTTTTTGAAGATTTCCCTCAGCACAAAAACAGGACCCTGGCTGACCATAAAGCTGGGCACAGAGGGGGTCAGACTTTAGGCAAAAAGCGAGTTTCTCAAAAAGTGTTACCAGTCAAAATACTTTTTTTCAGGCTTTTATATGGATGTTGGACTCCAAGTGCTTTTGAAAATCACACTACAGCATCACCTCTAGGTATTCATACCACAGTCCCGAAAGGTTAGGTAAACAAAGCAATATCTAAAAATATGCATGAACCAAAAACAAAATCACTTTGCTACAGAAGTTCATAATTTCTCTGATGTTCTCTTGACATTCAAAATTTAAGCATCAACTTCTTTAAAATCACTGTAATGCTTCCACTGTGCATAACAGCAACACTAAGTAGAACTGAAACACAATCTTGATAGAAATTTCTCAAAAATGAAAGAATATTTGTAAACTGGAAAGGCCTTTTTCAGCAAAGAAAGATTTCTCTGTCAACACAAAAATCCAATCCATCCCCAGGTTTGACTGAAGCAGATGCTGTAATAAACAAGGGAATGACTTCCATACAGAAACCATTCAAGCTTTTTCTTACAGATTTTTGCACCAACGGACCTTAAAAGCCCCAGTGAACTTTATTTAAGTCCTTACCAGTTAACTTCTTCACAGGTTGGAGCCGAACACTGATAGACTGATGTGTGAGTAAGGGGGAGGATGGAAGGGAGCGGGACATGCCCTCCATTATCCGAATGTGCTGCATACCTTCGGTCACTGGGAGTGGCGGAATAGCGTAGTCAGGTTCAAAAGCACAGTCGTTCTCTGTGGAGGTGCCTAATGGGGAGAGGAAAATAAAAATGAGTTACTTAGAATGCAAGGGAAAGAATCCTGCTTCCATCATTCCACAAGGGCTGGCTGGAGGGAACCCTGTGCAGAGCTGACTTGCCAACTGCTTGTTCCCTTTGCACACTCATGACACATCCCTTGAAGAAATTTTAAAGAGCATCTCAGTCTCCCTCTCGGTATGATGAACAGCAGAACCATGAAGAATTTCTTTCAATGTTCTTAATTTGTCTTTCAGAGTCTTAGAGTTTTCAAAATAATGACCATAGTTTTTAGATTGTTGGTTTCTAATAAAAGACCTCCCAGCTAAATTAAATTTCAACAGCAGGACCTTTAGCCTAAAAAAAAAAAACCACAAACCCCAAATAAAATGAAGAACAAAGGCCTCTAAAAACAGCCACCAGCTCCAACTCTCCCAAGAGACCACAAAGCCCATGTGGGGGTCGCATCACTACACATCCACAATGGAATACATGGAATAGCATGAGAACAAGTGAAAATAGAACAATTAAAGGACTCAATCCTAATTGTAATCAATATTAATGAACAGTGAAGGGAAGGTGCTTCAGATCAGCAAGAGTCAGGAACTATAAGGTTCCTCCTATTAGCAGCAGATACGGAAACCTTGGAGTCAACGACAGCTGGATCTCCACTCTTGTCAGTAAGATGAACAACCTAACCCAGACAACTAATAATTCATATGCAAAAACCAACCCAAGCTGTTATCATTAATATTTCACTAATTTTTCAATAATGTGAGAAGGCCAGACTTGTGTCACTCTGTTACAAGATAGATTTTAGCTCTTATTGCGTGACGATGTTTTTCCTCCATAAAGACATTCCTCACTGGATTTCCACTGGATAGCTGTGCTAGTTGGCTTGTGAGAGTGTTTTTAAAAGAGAAAATGTTTGCTGGACAGAAAGGGAAATGGTCAAGAGTGGAAATAAGACTGAAGGGTAAGAGCCTCAAATGCATGGTACTTCAGAGGAGATGATGGATGAGCTGTATTCCCAGTATCCAAAGTAAAATGTGAACAACCCAACATATTGCTTACGATCGGCAGAAAAACCCATGTTGAAATAACTGTCAAAAATCTTGGACCGGTTCCTGAAGGGTTCTAGAGGGCTGCAGCATCAGTGGCTGAAATGCATCCATTCCTGGTGCCAGCAGTCAGAAATGTCTCTCATCAGTTTTGTAATGCTCTTTACATGAAAGCCAAATAAGCACTAACACCCTTCACACCTACACTGGTTTTGACAGTTCAAAACACAACTCACTCCCTGCTTGCTCATCACTCACCAGTTACCACGAGTTCTCTGCAGGCTCTGCCAGCCCGGCCAGGCTCACCAGGAGTGTCAGGGAAGACAAACCACCATCGCTGCCAAAACTAGCAACCAAAAAGCCAACCCATGATGCGTTTTTAAAATGCATTTGGCACCAGGCATGAAAAAACAGATTTACTACCAATGATTTTGATTCTTAAAAATAATTTCAATTGCCTCAGGCTAAATTTTAGGGAACCATAAACCATGGGCTCCTGCAGCTTAGAAGTCTGGGAAAGACTTACAAGTCTATGTGCATTTCACTGGTTACTATGGTGTAAGTTCCCAGTGTCGTTGATCAATCTACTTAAAATCAATGGCAGCATGATTCTGATCACAGCTTCAATGACTCAAAATCATCTCACCCAGGCAACATTGGAATATAGCCAAAAAAGGACAATTCTCTGGAGAAAATGTCCCCATAATAAGTCATTAGGACACCATGACAAAACAACAGGCTTGAGCCTAAATGAAAGGAAAATTATTGCTGCAATCCCAAAGACAGAGTAAGTCAATGCACATAGAACCTACCAGAGCCCTTACTTCCAAAAAATGCTGCTCATTGTTAAAGCTGTGTGAGAATACAACATTTTCACAACCCTCACAAATTAGAAAATGCTTAAAACTTAGTAAAGCTGCTTCAAAGGACACGTAACCCAGCACAGATCTAAGACCAGCTACTGTCAGGGACAGGAATCCCATTACAGGACTCTGTGTGGTGTTAACCAACCACCAAACGTACTCTGAGTGAGGGATACTCAACAAAAGAGTCTGTTGGATTGTTATTTAAAGAATATAAAGCCTGGTTTTAGTACTTCCTTCCTTGAACCTTTTGTCCTCTTCCTGTGGGATGAAACAAACCAAAGCAAAAGATGTAACATGAGGCTGTTCAGCACCCAGACAGGTCCTTCTGCATTGCATCCCAGGGCTTGGGGAAGGATAACCTGGTTCTGGTGAACCTGCCAGGTCCCCTCTTTGATATCAGGGGGAAGACAAGTAGAAACCTGGAAACCAAATTCTGGATTGGGCTGGTATGTGCTGAAGAATTCCAGTACCACCAGCTCCAGCAGCACTCTGCCCCTCTGGCTGCAGTACAGAGTACAGGTACTCTGCAGGTCCACCTGTGCTGCACCAGGAGTTAAGTTAAACTCCTTCAGCCGCTCAAAGTCTGTCTGGTTTGTGAATCTCAGTATGTTGGTAGCTGTGCGGATAACGATGGGTGTAAAGTCTGTCAGGTCACACAGTTTGACGAGAAACACAACGTGTGGGAAATATCAAAGGTGAACAAATGAGACGAGTCCCCGAGGCAGAACAACACTCAGGTTTTACCTTGCCCAGCTCGGCTCTGACGGGAGTCTACACTTGCCTGTCTTCGGTCTGGTGGCTCCTCGTTCCCTCCATCTGCACAAGAACCAAAACAGCACAAGTAGAACATCATAGTGGACAGGTCAGGCAGATGCAACTTTTCCTTGAATCACATCACCTATCTCGGAGAAACAGCAGAACAAAAGGTCCCTCTGGCAGACTGAAACTGGGGAAACTGCTGCTTGACTCTGCTGCTCCTTCCACCTTTGCCCCAGCTCACTGTAATGAAATCCACAAGGTCCTTGGGGATAGAAGGAAGGTTTTACTTGCTCCTATTGATTCCACAGACATCTGAATGTCTGTGGATAAAAAACAAACTGTGCATCTTCAAAGAGTTCCTTCACTTTGGACTGTTGTATCAAAATATAAAAATATTAAGCATTGGAATAAAGAGATTGAGAAAAAAAAATTGAAATGTGGAATATGAAACTGTGTCCCTTTAAAATCATTTGTCCGCTAAAAACCAGGAAGGCTGGGAAGAATAAAACCTCTTATTAAATCCTCTTGAAACTGTTTAGGAAAGCAGCTACAGTTAACAAATCCCAAATCCATCTGTGCAAATGCAGAGTGGGACATTGTGTACAATATTATACAATTAATTACAGGCTGCTCTTCATTGATCAACTGACCAGATTAGAAACAACAGATACACCCATCGATATAGATGCTTGAGTACATGGAGTCTCTGGCAGCTGAGAGCAAAAAGAAGCTCAACTCCACAGACAGGGAAAAAGCAAACCAAGGGATTTCAAACGCAGGCTGTATTTCAGCAGCTCTTTCCTTATGGCAGGGGAAGGGGAAGCTTTTAAAATCTTTTAAAACAGTTTTGAAATAACTAAATTCTTAAACAGCTATTTAAAAACTCAATAGCCAGTTTACCACTGATGTGTTTCGATGATACTAAAAGCCATTGCATTATGATATATTTGTATCTCTGAATAGCTCTACAGAAGTTATTTGGTGGAGGGGCCTGTTGTGCCTAATTTAACTTTATCAACTCCGGCTACATCTGAGGTATATCTGGCTTGATGGGAAGTTGTGAACTGCAGCGCAAGAGCAGAACTAAAATGGGGACTAAAAATGTTAATCTACCCCCACCCCCAAAAAGAGAGGAACCACACCCCAGGCCAGGAGAGGTTTTCTGCTCCCTCTTCCCTTGGTGAAATGCTCCCAGCCCTCAGTTTTCCTGAAGCAATGCTCAGGCACCTCAAACAGATGCCAGCCAGGCCATCTCTGTCACCTTTGCATCTTTCTCTGCTGACACAGCAGCTGCATGTGAAGGTCACCTGGCCACAGCAACCCAGAATCCTGATTTTAAATGAACCGCACCCACCCCAATAAGCCAACAGTTGCCAGGTGCCAGAGAGGCTGCAGACCATGACACTTGCCCAGTTCCCTTTTCCATTCTGATTACCAGAAGGATGTCACACTGCAAATACAACTGCAACTGCAATATCATTATCATCATCCCTAATGGCCCCTGGCTAGTCATGGAGGAAACAAAAATCCTTTTGCGTTGTGAACATAAATCCAAATGCAAAATAACTGTAAGGACTAAACATTTCAAAAGACAAGAAAGTTCTAGTATTAAAATCAGGAGTAAGCCCCTGTATTTATCCAAAGACACACGATCATCAACAAAAGACAAACACCCTCCCTGAAAGTTTCATCATCCTTGCAAGTGTTCGACACCAAGCTATATGGGGCTTGGTGGGTGGAACTGGATGAGCTTTAAGGTCCCTTCCAACCCAACCCCGAGATCTCTGATGATTCTATGAATCAATCTCCTTGGAGATCATGTGGCAAGACAACTCCTCTGCTGTACAGTTACCTAGGTGCATCAAACCCTGCCTTGAGAACAAGCCATGGCCAAGGGAGGGGCTGGGGGCAGCAGATCTGGGGTCCTGCTCCCCAAAATGCTCCCTCATTCAATGGTGGGACACAAAACAGTGACAACAGTCTGCCAAAGCCACTGGGTTGGAGAAGAGGAACAGGAATCAAGAGTCTGGGATGGATCTCCCTGCAAGTTATACAACATATTAAGGGGGGAAAGAAAGGTCATAGTAAATTAATTTCTGAAATGCATTTGGTGCGTGGGAAAGGAAAAAATAAATCAGATGACTCAGCAAATATGAAATCTTCAGTCAGCATAAAACTGCTGTTGCATTTGATTTGGATGCAGCAAAGGTGGAGCTTGGTGGAAACCAAGAATGGAAAGGAACAACCACAGTTAAAAACTGAATAACTGAACTATTTAATTTTCTTTCTCTTCACTACAAATCAAAATGTTGAGCATAATTTGCTCCTGGCAGTGGAGGAACAAGGTTAGCAGGGAACAATACCACACTTAATTATGAAGTTATCTCACTGTACATGCAGAAAAGGGGAGATTACTGTTTCTAAGGGAATATTAATTCTCACATTTTTTGAACTTTCAAGTGCCTGTATTTACATCCACCTCTGTGTGCACATCAGAACTCTGTCATCGCAGCAACACTCCTAGATATTTTATTTATGCATGACTTTAGGTAGTTTTTACTATTTGCTTCAGCAATAGCTATTGTTTATAGACATGACCTACTATTCAGACAACATTTATGGACAGTATCACTCCTGAAGTTCAATTGATTCAGTTGCTGTAACGATTGCCAGGGTAGTGAAACACCAAAGTTATTGATAAATCCTTCAATGCAACAGCTAAAATAGGTCACCAGAAGTAAATCAGCTGTGAAATCATTGCTAGAGAACACAGCTATCTGTGTTAATTTAAAATAAAGACCAGCACAGACTAAGATGAACCTGTTTAAGGAGCTTTACAGAAGTCAAGCAAAAGAGAAAACAATCAAATGCCATGAGGGAAGCGAATAATATTGTAACTATTGACTCAGTAGTTCATATTCCCTTGCATCTCACTATGAAAAGGAGAAAAACTTTTGTGATCTTTTGAAAAATCTCAGTGTTAAAAAAATCCATTAACTCTTACGCAGCATTCTAGTTTCCAAAAGCTGCTGTCTCCTCAGTGTCCAGCATCTGTCTACCTGGGATGCTGGACACAGGTCAGAAACCCCACAAGGCTTCTGAGTCAAGAAGAGAGTAAACAGTCATGGCTATTAACTCTTTCTCTCAGTTACAAGGAGATAAAGGGATCTCAAAAATCACGATTAGTCACAGGATCAGCAGAGTAGCCTCTCTTGCTATAGCCAGGTATGAGAAACCCTCCTTCCTCCTCTTCTTCCCCCATCCCCATTCCACCAGTTCTCCATTAAAACCAATGACACAATAAATCCTCCCCATACACACAACTAGATTCTTTGAACTGACTGCTCTGACAGAGAAAGAAAATCTCAAGATTTCAGCCTTCCTAAACAAATCCCCTGCACAAAGCACCACAGTTAGTATGAGGGGCTGCAAACAGGAGCCAGATCTGCACCAGCATCTGCACCAGCACATCTGATGTCAGTAAATCCCACAGCACCTCTGGCATCAGCTCTGTCAGCACCTCCTGCCAGGCATTCTCATTAAAGGCAAACATAACAAGTTTCATATAAAATCAAGTGCTAGCAGCCCAATATTTCTGGTTTCCCATTTAATTAAAAGGCCTTTAAAACTCACACTGTGACTAAACATTTCTCGAGATCTCTGATCTGACAAAGCAATTTTTAAGTCAGAAGAATCCAAGGGTGGGTGAGGCTGCTCCACGCATGCTGGGGAATCTGCGGCAGGAACCGACTGCATTGGATGTGCTGCTGCCCTCACAGCAACCAGCAGAGCACACTCCACTGTAAGAGCTGATAAATCAATAGTTTAAATCCATATCATATCGAAATTGTATCTGGAAAAGGTACAAGACTCACACAAAGCCAGTCAAGCTGGTAGGGACGGATCCGATTCCAGCCCAGCCCAGCATCCCTGCAGAAGCATCCCTGTACGCATGGCACAGCGTCTGAAAACGTGGCTCCCAGCTGCCATTGTGCTCCCAAAACAAAGATACAGGGGAAAAAGCCTTGAAATAAATAAATCAGACAGCTCCAGGGGCTGGAGCCCACTGGAGGATCCTGGAGCTGCCGGCACAGCTGCTGCAGGAGCCAGTGCCGAGTCTGACCCTGGAACCCGCCGCAGCGATGCCGGCGTAGGAGAGGGAGCTGCAAATCTTGTTCTCAGCATTCCCGATGGATTCCAGCCTGGTAAGAAATGACACGTGCCACATGATCTGCCTGCTGCTCTCCCAGGGTGAGATGTGCCTGGAAAGGGGCAAAGTGTTTCCCAGCCAGAGAAGGAGAGAAGAGGGAGCCCAGTCTGGTACTGAAAACAATTATTTTAATCAAAAGTCCTTCCTGATAATTTAGTTTGTGAGTATTTTTCAGCCTCAGAAACAATATGCAGCCCTATTACAAATTCTTATAATGGTATGATTAATTCAACTATATATTCTATCATATATTCTATTAATTCTACAAAATATTCTATTAATTCTATTATTATTATTGTTGTTGTTGCTGTTGTTGCTATAAAATAGCAACTTGGCTTAAGAGGCTTTGGCAATTCATAAACATATGTAAGTTCATCCATTTATTGTCCAAGTTCCTTAGTCTTTGAGGAAAGTCATTTTGCAGAGCAGGAATTACAGATTTGTTTGGTTTATCGAGAGAGCTCTAACATGGATCCAGAAAAGCATCACCCAGCAAATGTGATGCTAAAATGCCTCAGCACTTTTTAGGAGAAGAGCATGAACACTTGCTGGGACGATGCATGACAACACAGGCACTTCCTAACAGGCTTCCCAGAGCAGCTGTGGCTGCCCCTGGATCCCTCCAAGTGTCCCAGGCCAGGCTGAACAGGGCTTGGAGCAAACTGGGATACTGGAAGGTGTCCCTGCCGCAGGGGGTGGCACTGGATGGGCTTTAAGGTCCCTTCCCAACCCAAACCACTCTGCAATCCAATGATAAATGGACTTCAAACTGTAAAGCTCCATTGTCTTCTCCATTGCCTTCTTGTGGGATATCCTCCATTAACTCCTGATGTTGCTTATCAGTTAT